CGGCGCGAACCGCAGGGGCGGCCGCGCGCCCCCCTTGGTGCTCGCCGCGCTGCTCGTGCTCGTCGCCGTGCTCGCCTTCAACTGCTGGAGCGGCTCGTCGCGCGCGGCGCTGCTGCAGGAGGAGCTGGCCGAGCTGCAGGGCCAGGCGCAGCGCGGCGAGGCGGCCCGCGGGCGCCTGGAGCGGCGCAACGCGGAGCTGCTGGGCAGGCTGGAGGCGCAGCGCAAGCAGCTCGAGCAGAAGGAGGCCGAGTGCGGGCAGCTGGGCGGGCAGCTGCACGCGCGGGACGGCCAGGCCCGCCGCTGCGAGGAGACCAAGGTGAGGCGGCGCGGCCTTTTCGTTTCCTAGGGTTGTTTCCCCCTTTTTTTTTTTTAATGATCTTTTGTAGCTAATTAAGAAAGCTGCCCCCAGTTTTGCAATCAGAGCGCTTTTTTCCCCCCTTACTTTGAAGGAAAAAAGCAGCTAATGTGGAACCCCCGAGCRCGTCTTCGTGCTGTCTCGCAGAGCATGTCACCGGGCAGGGCAGTGCTGGATCTCCGACAGGCGAGTGTCTGGGATAAGCTCGTCCCTTGGTGGGTGATAAAGCTGCTAATGGCACAGATCTCTACTCGCCCATCCGTGTGGAGCCGGAGCCCTTCGCTGCAAAGGCACCAGCTCTGCTCTCCTGGGGGCTGCAGGCAGCCGCTTGCACTGGGGTGCAGCCTGCGCCGGCTGCAGGGCGAGTTCTGGTCCTAGCGCTCGACTGGAGGTTTGGTGTTTGTGGGCAGTTGATAATTCGACCACCTTACTGCTTTCCACAGCAGAGTTGATGGGACTGCCAACCCCGGCATGGGGCATACAGGCTGCTGGGTTTGCTCTGGCCATCTCGTGTCACACAGTTACTGAGCAAATCATCGCTGCAACAACCAAATACCGAGGTTTTGGAAGTGGGGTTTGGCTGAGTGGGTTGAACTGCAGCTGTCRCTTGTTACTGAGCAGAGCAGTTTCTAAAGCCCAGCCTGATTCCTGTGTTCTCGCTTAGATGTGAGGTGTATCTCTTAGTCTAACTAGTTGGAAATAAGTTGGGGAGAATCACAGCCTCCTTCACATGAATTTATTTCATACTAAAACTGTGTCATGTACATATGTCACCTTTCCTACTAAAGATTTAAAATCAAGTCATTTGTGAGTTTAGCAAACTTTTTTTTTTCTCGCTGACACCTGATTTCTTAGATAAGGAGGATCTTCRGATAAAATATAAAACTGGAGATGTCATGGAAGATACTGTCCAGCCTGTGTTCATGAGGAATGAGTTGTCCATATGTTACTGTAACTGTAATTGCCATGTATAAAATTATACTGTGGGTAGTCAAGAAAGCTATAATGATGGGGTTACACTGTAGGGCTTCATTTAATAGAAGAAACTTATATTTTGGGAAATCTGCTATGTTCTAAAGGGAGAAATATAAGCCTGAAAGAGTTTATGGGAATTGCTTTCAGTGGCTTAAGGAGGCTTTCTTGTTCTTAATTTAAAACAAACTTGTAATCATTGATGATGTGTGTTGTTCCTGTTCTCAGCTCACTACCTATATAGATGCAGGCGTTCGGTAGTGCATTTGTCTTTCATAATTTTTATTTTTAATTTTAAATTCCTATGTAACCAAGTTTACTGAGTGATAACGAATCTATAACTTCTAGAAAACTGAAATTTGAAGATAAACCAGCAATGATCAGGTTTCTGTAGCAATTTCGCTTGTGATGAAYGTCAGCTCCCCTGGATCACATTAAAATGTGCGTGTTTGTCATCTTAGGTGTAAAAATGTCAGCATCCTGAACAAAGTATTCGTAGATGTATGAAGATCTTGAGCTTCATAGACCTTTTCCAAGATCATCTTTTAAAAGGGAACAGTTCATCCAAATCTTTCAGTTATTACCATGCCCTAAGTAATTTCATTTTACTATAAGCACACAAAGACCATATTTAATTTAAAGCCTTTCAGTGATGGAAGAATGAATTTGTGATTCAGTGGCATTATAAATCTGAATGTAGATTCCTTAGTACTATGTCAAAAATACTATATACATATAGTGCAGCTTCATCTGTTGTAAACTTGCATCTTTATGTTTCTTCAGAAACAGCTTTGGCAGGTTAAACTTAACATGGACAGATTTTATACCGAGTCAGGCATCGCTTGTCCCTCTCTTGCAGGCTAATGTCCTCCTTATCTTGGGCTCTTTTTTTGTCCTCTCAGACAGAAATGATATTGTGTCCGATCAGGACCGGGGTTTGTACTTCTGAGTGATTTGCTAGTGCAGAGATGCTGGAGGCTGCGGCCCTTCCTGGGGCACGTGGCGAGGCCTGGGCTGTGGTGTGGGAYGTGCTGCACAGCCCTGCGGGTGCTGCGGGCGCGTGCGGGCCCCGGGACAGGGGAGCAGGGAGCCCTGCTAGCTGGTCTGGTTGTAGACGTGCCGCATAGCGCCGTGCCCCGCTCTGTGCTTGCTCATCGTGCTGGAAGCTGCCATCGCAAGGCAGGCGAGCTGGTGTCTTTGATGTGAGACCCCTTCTTTCCAGGCGCTCCAAATGCTGCGGGTGTCTCCGTAGGTAAGGCTAGCAGTATGTTTTTTCAATAAGCAGCTACTGTCCATTTCTCTCTCTTCATCCTCTGGGAGCTGCTAAAATGTTCTCAGTGGCAACAATCCTAAATTAAAAAATAATTAAGTGAAATGCCTTAGGGAGTAAAGCAATCAACAGATCTTTTGCTAGAAAAAAAGAGCAAAGTGTGCATGAAGTGCCTGACCAAAAAAAGATGACTGTTTCTTTTTATTTTCTCCGAACAGAATTTAGCAAGGCTGGTTTTTGAACAAACTACACCAGCGAGGCCAGTTCATCTGTGAAATGCAGGAGCTATAATAAGGAACCGACACTGCTTATTCTCAGGGTACCAAGTGAAGACAACAGTTAGAGTTTTGTTTTGTAGCAACTCCTTTGAAAGCTGATACTCTGGTAGCTGTTGTAGTGTCTGTTCCGCTTTGTGCTCCTTAGCCTTCCTAAGGGATTCTTTACCTTGCGTTCACGCACATCAAGGATACATCTTCCAGTGCGAAAGTAACTTGAATTTTTGCCGGCAGCTTCCTCCTGGCTCCGGGAGATCTACAGCCACGTCACAGCCTTGGCTCTCCCTTCCCTTCTGTCGTGTGCTTTACAAGCCAGTCACAGAGTAGTGTTTGCTCTTAGGACTGTAAATGTAGTAAACTGACCTAGTGTCTGGTGAAACCCCTTACTGCACAGTCTAATGTTTATTAAAGTGTAAACTTGATGTACTGTACACTGCAAGTAGTGACCTGCAATTAGGCAGCACCTGCTGCTGACAGTATATGCAAGCCAGGAGGTTTTGTTGAGAGGGCTGTGGTACTCTGAGGAAAAATGACAGGGGAAAAATCATTTTACTACCTTTAAAGCTGGGAAAGTAAATGATTTTAACTTGTTTGAGCAGTCCTTTAGGTATAAGCTAGTCAGGTCTGGCAGATGTCCGAGGGAGAGATATTAAGAGAGATGTAAAAGATCTTCAGAAATTAAGGTGAATTTCTCACAAGTGCAGTGGTCTTCTGAAGAACCTGAAAGAAAAGGGGAGATTCTGACGAGGAGTGGGAAGAGAAAAGTCTTGGGATCTAGGAAAATACTTAAACGAATAGGAAAGTGCAGGTGTGGCTGGCAAAGGAGAGATGGTGAGGAGAGCAGCTGGGGCAGCACATGCTTTTCGGTAATTGCTACTTCTGGTCCCCAGCAGCTATTGGTAATGTTCACAGAGGAAGATGCAGGAGCAGATCAATCTCTCTGCCACAGATGAGAGTTCTTGGAGACTCTTTTCCTTTCACCCTCTGCTGAGCGTTGTGGGCTCCCAATGGTCCCCCTGGCCTCGGGACAGGACAGAGGACACTGCTCTCCTGGGGCTGCTGTCCTTGGGAGGGAAGCAAGACTGTGCTCCTGGTGAGGGAGGTCACTCATGCAGCTTATCATAAATAAATGTCATTTATTTATGAAACTGTTTCCTGGTTTTTGCAGCATGTAGCGAGGGCACCTTTTTTCCATGGCTTTCCACCTCCTTTTGCAATAAGCTCAGTAAAGTGCTTGAATGAGCGCAGGGTGGAGGGCTTCTCAGGGCAGCCGCCCGCACGGAGGGCTCCTACCTGGTACTGGCTGCTGCAGAGCTCGCAGCAAGCCCGTGTCATTGGGCAGTTGTTGCTGGCTGTGCCAGGAGCACAATAGCACCTTGTTCTCTTGGCTGGAGCTTTGTATGTTGAAATTGGTTAGCGAAACATGCTTGGAAGCAGCTTACCTTCCTTTCCAGTGCTTCGGAGCCAAAACTCCTGGGTAGCTGATCTGCTCGCAAAGCCACAGCTTTGCSGTGGGGAAGTTGGAGCCCCCTTCTATTTGACTACATGTTCTCCCTTGCCAGCGCCGCAGTGTGGAGCCCTACTTGATCTCCTGCTCTCCACTAACTGCTGGACAATAGCACTGGCTGCTCTGAAAGAGCCAGGTGACAAACTAGTAGCAGAAGCATTGGGAAAAAATAGACCTTTGTGCAAAAGGGCTGTTGGTGCTCCAGAACGCACTCTAGCAAGGTACTCGCTGTTCCTGTGCGCCTTTGCTGCACCGAGGAGTATGGGCTTGTGCTCCCCGGCAGGGATTTCAAGGGGCCTTCTTGCTAGGGGGAAAAATGGCTCGGTGAAATACGGGTGGATGTTTACAGGGTGTCCTTTAGGCAGTGTTTAATGGGGAAGCAAGGCCACCTCTATTCCATCCTGCCATACGCGTGGAGGAGCTTCAGGCTGTTGTAGCTTTCTTTTCTTTCATTGCCTTTTATTGCCTATATTGCCTATGACAAGACCCGTGCAATTCAAATAGCACTGTAGGTACTGCCTTGCCTTTACGTAGCAGTGGCCAGCACAGGATTTTTACTGTTTATTTTTCTTGAGTAGAGCTCCCTGGGCTAGCTCGGTTGTTTCTCCTCCCTCCCCCAGTTGCTGTGAAGATCTGAGAAGTCACTGAGAAAGACAGATACAAATAGGTCTGGATTTGAGGAGGATGCAGATGAAAGAACTGGCCTTGTTCCATGTTTTTGGTGAGTGTAGGTGGAACAGCTCCCATGAATCATAAGCAGCTTCTCCCTTTCTGTCCCCCAGATTAGGGACATTTACTGTCAGCTGAGATGTTTTGGCTATGAATTCTGTCACTTCTACATGACGCACAGAGTCTCCAAAATTGAAGATTGTGATAAAATTCATAATCAGATTTTTGGATCAGATTTCTGTTAAYAGAACAAGCATTTTCCAGCACCAAACTCTCCACAAGCCAAATGTTTGGTGGTGTAAGTGGAGGAAAGGTTTTCTGTGTGAGGGATTCTGATATATGAAGGTTTGAAAAGGGAAGAACTCTCTAGCTGATGTGATCTCCTCTGTTTGTAGCTGCCCTGGGCTCTGGGAAGAGCCTCAGGGCTTTTCAGAAGAGTTTATTGGAGTGGGAGATGGGTAAAAGTGATAATTGCTGCTGGTTGCAGTTTTTCTGTTTAATACCCCTGCTCCTGTATTGCCCCCAAACAAAGAGAAAAAARATATTTTTAAATTAATACTCATCAAATAACTCTTTGCATCCKTTGCTACAGCCTGGTGTCCAACAGATGAAGTGAGATCAAAAAAAGAGCTTGCAAGATGCCCGCTTTCCTTACAGAAAGGGTGGGAGGTTATTTTTATGTTTTGGTTCTATGTAAAGCCTTCACCACAGGGCATGTTTGTGCCTTTTTTTTTACTTTTTAGCACAGGAAGCCCAGGGAAGGTTTTTACTGAACTGAAAGTTGATTTTTGCCAGTCCTGTAACTAGCAGGCTTCCTTGTTTTGGTTCTTGCTTGTACAGAGAACATATTTAATTGCTCCTCATACACACGGCTCTGAAATGTCCCGACAGATCCTTGAGCGTCCTGCTGGARAGCTGCATTTTGGAGCAGCGTGGCCAGTGTCTTGAGGTTGCCGCAAGGTTGCATTGTCCGCCTCCCGATTTGGGGAGAAAACCGCTGTGGGCGGGTGGGCTTGGCTGCGTCGCTGGGGCGCCTCTTGGCGCGCTGCGAATCCGCGTGCCGCAACGCGGGAGAGGGGCTGCTCCCGCGGCCGGCTCCAGCCTGGCAYGGGAGAGACCCCGTGGAGCCCCCGGCTGCATCCGGAGCCCCGTTGTGTGGCTAGAGCACGCGGATATGTGCCTTGGGGTGCACAGTGTGCTGCAGAAAGTCACGATTTTGGCGCTTCCTAAAGCCCTAAATGCCTCAACACATATGGGATAAATTGAATTGTGTAGTCAAGAACTGAGTGTGTCTCTCTACAAACGTTTCACTTTTTTTTTTTTTTTAAGTAATTTTTATGATTAAAAAGAAGTGTGTGGAAGAAATCTTAAGAAAGTAAAGACGTGTGTGTGTGTATCTATATATATATATATATATTTTTCCTACAGACAGTTTAGGTGACTCAGACACTGARCATCAGAACCTGTGCAGGAGTTGAAGCAGCCTGGGTGTCTGCTTCCCCCCACTCCAAAGTAYGTGTGCTCGGATGTGGGTTTAGAATGGGAAACACAGAGGCTGTTAATAGGCACAGATACCTGCATTGTAAATAATGCAGAAGCTGTTTGTGTAAGTATTTATAGTGTGATGCTTTGCGTGTTGTTTTACCTTTTTGGTTAATTAAATGAAGATCAGATAAGGCGCAGTCTTTAGATGCAGCCTCTACCTCTGAGATCTAATTCTGACCCTGTAGTCCAGAATGGCAACGTTGTTTGTTCCAGGACCCCGGGACAGTTGCTCTTTACATCARTCCTGGGGGGTGGAATTGATACCAGTGTTGCCTAACAGCAGCYGTGGGCTTTTTCACCTATTGTCAGTGTCATCTACCTGCACACAAATATTTTTGCTTGATAACTTCATGTGTATGAACTAGTAAGGAAAAAAATAGCAATTACAATAAATATCAAATTAAATACTTGTGGAAGTCCATTGGTATCACATTCATTCTTTAAAGTATAATTCCTTTTATTAATATTATGTAGCATCCCATTAAATATTTACTTTCAACCTGCATTAGGTAAAAATTTGTTTTTGCTAATGGTGCTGTTTGTTTATTTTTATACATTTATATTTGACATCGGAAATCCACTGTCCCTTTCTGCAATTTGTTTATTTTAATCTTGACAAATCTGCTTTTCTGATGGAAATATGTCTTGGAAATTTTTCTAAATCTTTGTTAGCAATGGCTAAATGTAGTGCTTAAGTTGGTATACTTACAGATAACTAAACATAAGCTATTTATAGCTACAGGATTGTTCTATTGTCATTCTGATACTCCTTTATTTGTATTCTTTCTTTACAGTGGAAAAATAAGAATTCAAAAGCAAGTAGTTCTTTGCAGGTATAAGCACTTCCTAACCTGCTAAAGATCCCTGTATTTATATAAGCATTTTTTTTTCATTTCAGATTAAGTTGCAGAACAACATATCGTATCAAATGGCAGATATACATCGCTTAAAGGGTAAGGGATTTATGGCCGARCCGTGTTTGGAGGGCTGTAAGGCTGCATATAACTGCCTAGATGCTGCAGAGCACGTTTGAAATGAGAGATCAAGCGGTGCGGGAGCATCATTCCTTGGCACTTGTTTCCTAGCTAGCATGGCAAGTGTAGAGGTGACTTCTGCAGACTTTATTCTCTGTGGAAAAAACATGCATCCTGACACCGCTTACTTCCAAGGCATCAGAACCGTTTTTGTGATCAAAGTAATGCACAAGTTTGTGTGGTTGGGATCAGCACTATTGTGATACTGGTGTCAGCTTGGAGAAGAAGCAGAAAGCATCGTTTAAGAGCACCCATCTGTGCTGTTCTCCACAGGCCTTGCAGTCGTGTCGCTGTTTTTCAGAGGCCTGGAGGAGATACTGCCCAAATTTGTACGTGCCTGAAGACAAGATACTTTACCTTGCTGCCTGTATTTACATAGCTCCAACTTGAAACAGTAGGGAGCTGAACAAATACCTGTAGTCTGAAGAGAGCGAGCTTGCAGAACGAGTGCCTGTGGAGAGCACGTTAGATGGTTTTATGGCTAGTGTGAAGTGTCCTTTCTGTGTGCTGTTTTTCTAGAAAAGACATTTGATTGTAGTGCCTAAATAACCTAGTGATAACATGGATGATTATTTATTTTAAAGCATGGCAGGTCACACAGTATCAGATTTGTTTGCTTAATTTCTTAATTAAAAATCAARATCTAGCATACAAGAGTCAGTTGACATGTTTTCCAAATTAGTTTAAGAATTTAAGAAATACATGTAGAAGAAATAGCCAAAGTTTCTTATATTAATTTGTAATTTATATCACAATATTTAAAGTTACATGCACCACAAGATGTTCCTTGTATACGGAGATTTATGTGGATTTTGCACTTTGATCTAGAACAACTAGCAGAATTACGACAAGAATTCATTCGTCAGGAAGATCAGCTTCATGAATACAAGAAGAACAATACTTACCTTATGAAGAGATTGGAATATGATAGGTAGGTCCCTAAATATTGGTAACTACAGGTTTGCTTGTGTGTAATGCAAGACTATTTTTTTTTTTAAGGCACAAATGAATTCTAGTTGTTACTCCTCAAACCCCAATGTACCCTGTTGGGGATACCTCTCTGGCTTAGTTGGTTATTTGATTTTTCAGGTTCTGTGTTTTTGGTGTTTTCTTCTTTCRTCTATCCCTATTTGAATAATCTCTGAAAAAATCTGCCTGTGATAGTTATTCAGCATTGGATAATTTTAAATCAATTCTTTTTAGTGACCTGGAGATACCAGTTAACAGGAATTGGTAAATGGAAGAGTTGAATTTAATCTCCACAGCTCTGTAAACCACTGGCTATTGTTCATTGCTCTCTTCCTAAGAATTTTTTTTTTGAACTGGAGGTAAAAACRTTGTATATAATTGAAACTTAAAATTACTTTCAGCTTTTTAAGTTGGAAATGCAGAAGAAGGGAGAAAACTACTTCTGAAGCCTTAAGGAGTGAGAGTGAGAATTATATATATAAAAGAAAAAACACAGTCAGAAAAGCAGTTTTAAATATGTGTGTGTTAGGGCCCAGGGAATTTTGCTTGATTTTGCTGATCTGTGGCTTGTTAGAAAACTTGGGACTTGAGTTGTGCGATGACAATTTTTTCTGTTTGGGTTGGCAGCAGTAACTGATGGTGGTAGTTGTGCATCCTCTGTGCTGACWGCCATAGAGAATGGCTCCATGCATTCCAAGTGGAATTCCTGTGTGCTGATGACGGGAGATTGAATTTGCCGTTGCTTTTCAGCTTTTGGAGGAAGAGTTTTCATGGCTGTTTGGTTTATTTTACTGTTTTCCTGCTCTCTCCCTCTGTCCTCTTCTCTGTTCTGTCTGTTTCTGCTGTCTTTCCAAGCCATGAATTTTTGGCCAAACCATTCTAGTTTGCTCAGATTTGGCTTTCTATGCATTTGTTTTTCTTTTTTTTTTTTTTTTTTTTCCTTTTCATTTCTGGGAGAGTTGATGTAACTACTCAAATGTGATTGATAATGTGTTTCTAATTAAGTCTGCAGTGTGGCCAGCAGATCAAGGAAATGAGACTGCAACATGAAGAAAATATGAAGAAATTAATGGACCAAGTTATACGGGAACAAAAGGTAACACACAGTTCAATCTCTTTGTTGAATACAGAGAGCCCCAAGTGTGCTCTCCACGTAGCGAGTTGTCATGTGGAGCTCCTGGGCATTTCTCCTCCAAATTTTGGATAAATGCTGCACTGCAGAGCCCTAAGTGAATAGTAGTGTAAAAACATCTGCTTGTTTCGTTCAGTTGTTGAACTAAGCCTTGAAAATCAGGCTTAATTCTTTCCTCTGCCTCAACCTTCTACATGACATCATCGCTCAGGATTTCCATTTCTCCTCTGTAAAATAGATATTACTTTGTAGATCTCCAGGGTTGGATCAATGTTCTTGTAATATTATATAGATTATTGCCAAGGGGAATCTGATCTCTGAGGCTTCTAGGTGCTATTGGGATTCAAATACCCACTTGATGCCATTCAAAAAGCAGTGTAATTATACTGTGCAAATTATCAGTAGAATATGGGCATATTTCCTACAAAAGGATGAACAGATAACCCACCTTTAATGAAAACTTCATTTGCTTGTTCAGTGTCYGTTTACATATATTTCAAACCATTAAGCAGATTTCAAGAAGGCTTCAATCAATTTTTTTTGCAGAAATCTCCCTGGTCTGGGGCACAAGACTGATGATGTCTTAACTGATTGTCATAATAATGTTTGTTCACAGGTTATGTGGTAGCTTCATGTTAGAGTCAGGACTCTAGCAAAGGTCGCACGCATAAAAATAACTTTCTGAGGTTCTCCTGTAAGTTGTATTGCAGTCAAATTAGTGTGTTGTGGTATGGCCCTAGTTTTCTTGCTGTTCTTCTGGAATAGCTCTAGTGTTCTTGACAGATGATGAACAATTCTGCTTTCCTTTATGTGCTGAGCAACATGTCCTGCAACCGTACAGTATTTTAACTTTTCTGTTTAGTTACAAGTGTCCGTACTTCTACCGGCTACCCTCAGGACTCAGGTTTTTGTCTCGAGGACCTCTGCTGTTGTTCTTTTTGGTGATCATCTAATTCATAAATGCGATTGTGCTTTCCCAAAGTAATCTTAAACTGAGAGCCTTTATAGTTTAATTTTCAAGACGGTCTTTAATATCATTTCTGAATGAATTTATTCTAACAGGCCACACAGAAAATTCAGCCCAGTAAAGGCACTGAAGTCAGTCCCAATGATGAAGACCCAGCAGTATCTAAGACTGTTCCAGAGACAGAAGATAAAAACACAGTAGAGATAGAAGAGCCTTCGGATCACGCTGTAGATGGCAAAGGTATTTCTTTTGTCACTCTGATAGATGCAGGCCGATTGTTTTGCTCTTGCTATTATACAGAAGCAGGGATGTATTTGAAGTAGGACAGTGAATCATTTGCCTCAGGTAACAYGTGACTGTACAAAGTAGAGTTTATAGGAATCTAGAAATCAGTGTGTCCTTTCTCTGCCTATTTGGGGAAAAAAAAAAAAAACCCAAAACCACACATGTTTCTTGCACAATTTTGTCTCCTTTCTTGGTGCATTTCACATCTCCTTTCTTGTGTGGCCTTTATGAACTGAGAAGTGTCTCCCCCTTGCCTGTCAAATGTGCCTTGGGCTGAGCTAGGGAAAGGGCGAGTTGCTGGAGAGCTGGAACCTGCCCAGGGAAGGTGGTTGGGAGCTTTGAAACCGCAATGAGAGGCCTCACTGGGCAAGTGAGCAGGAACAGGGTGAAGCTTCGACTGTCAGGAGCTGGAGTGTCTCAGCGTGTGTCTAGTGTGATTGTTCCTCGAGGCCTCCTCTGGAAGTCAGGTAGGTGCCTTTGCCTTCTGCCTCTAAAGGCACTGGTTCAGCACCATAAATTCAGTTGCACACCTGTTCCAGTCAGGTTCTTCCAGCGAGCGTATCCCACTCTGCTGCCATGAGCAGTGCCTCTGTTTCCTGGCATTTTCTGACAATGGCACTGCCTTAGCTCACATCGCTGCTCTGGGGCAGCCTCCGGGCACTCCGCACAGACCAGTGTAGGGAGTCTTGCAGTTGGATTAGTGTGGTGCGTGCTCAGTGTGTGAGGGACTTTTATCCTGCTCTTGGGCCTCCCCCATGAAGTAAATTTTTTCTTAAAACCTTAAAAGAGGAGTAAAGAAGAATATCTTGTTCTTGTTTTACAGAGAAAATCAAGTTAGGAGGAGATGCAGGCATGCCTGAAATAGAAGACAATGGCCCTGCTAAAGCTGAAGATACACCCACTGGTTAGAAGAAATTTCTAATAATTTCTCAGTTGAGTCCTTGGTGAAATGTATGTCCTGTTTGAATACCAAGTGTTTCATAGTGATCGCAAAGGTTTTAAATCTGTATATAGAAACAAAATTCAAGTGGAATGTAAAGTCTGACAGTTCTTGCTGTATTTGTTTATTAGAAGTTATATTTCTTGAAAATGTTGAGTGCTTCAGTGCTTTTCATACTTTTTTTTCCAGAAATCTTGTATTTTATATTTTCTTCTGATTTCAAAAATAGGAAAACAAAAAAAGGGGAAAAAAAAAAAAGATTGTCACTCAGAGGAAGGCTCAGTATATTGTGACTATTTATTTCACCTTAAGGCTTTTGTTGATGTGTTTTATTTCAGCTATAAAGAAACCGCTTATTTCAGCTTCTCAAAATGAAGGTCGTCAGCCTGTTATGAACCTGCCAACTGAACAGCCCCAGGCTCCAAATCTGGCTCCAGGTAAAAAGCTTACCAGCATTTGACATGTTACCGTGTAGGAAACTTATCAGCTGATACCTCTGATACCTGCCACCACATCGTAAATGTTAGGTGCAAGTGGCCAGTCCCCTTTTTATAACTGCATCAAACAGAAGAAGAAAAAAAATTACTGCCAGTAATTTCTGAGCATKTGGACCAGTTTTAGCCAAATTTAGCCAAATTGGAAGTTTCAAAGATGAGTGCTTCAAAATTTCTCCAGTGGATGAAGGAGAATTAAAATTACTGTCCCTTTTATAAAGAGGGTTGCAGCCTGAGAATGATCTCAAGAGATAGTTGAGGATCTGTTGGTTGTTGTTTATAGTCAGAGAATAAGCAGCAGGACCACCGCTTGCTCAGGGTCATCCTCTTCCTCTGAACTGGCTTGAGGAGGATACGGAGGAGGTTCAGATGTGAGAGAAATTGCAGTAAAGAGGAGTGGAAGAATTGCCGTTGAAGAGAACAACACAAATCTATGAAAATACATTTGGTTTTACTGCTGATGGATCAGGTGACTATACTTTAGTGTCAAAAAAAGTTATATCTGTATTTTACTTTGTGACATGTTCAAATAATGTCACGCTTAAAAACTTTAAATACAACTCAAGCATCTTTCATCTTTGACGTCGCCAGACAGTTTCAAATTATTTGTTATGCCTATTTTTGGTTCCTTTTTTTTTGGAAAAAGTAGTTTCTAAATGTCAAGTCTTTAAAATACTTCCTTCCGTTACTGTTGAAGTCAATCATTCTGACTTTTCTCAATGAAAAAACATTAAAGATAGCATGCAAAATGCTTGCTTTCTCTCTAGAAACAGCTAATCAAAAGAGTGTTGGCCCTCGTGTCAAAAGTGGCAGAGATTTTCAGTATTCTTTAGTTATGTAATTTTATTATTTTTTTTTCTTTTTATGCAATTTTTGTATCGTGCTGCAACTTGGGCTAAATAAAAGCTCTTGAAAAAAGTTATAAATGTTTGTTTAGTCGATGATTCAATTAAAAAAATGAAGTGCTGAAGCATGTTACTGGTCTAGATTTAATGAAGCACATCTCCACTGAAAAGCCATTGACAAGGTAACACGACAGAAGACTGGTTACTCATTGAAAAGTAATGAATTACTCTTTGCAGTAACACAGTAAACTACTTTTGGAGTCCTCTGGAAACTAAACACACTTCTTTGTTCTGTAGGTTTGCATCCTGACAGTGATGGCAATGCTGATACTGTGAAACAGATACCTCCAAATTCTCTTCAGCACTTAACTTTTGAAGAAAATACGGAAAATCAGAAGGAACACAAAATTAAAACAGACCATGTAAAACTTCCAAAGAGCAGAGTCAGCGACTTGCAGAAGATGAAGCAAAGTAAGTTGATCAATAACATATTCTTCATATCCTAAGAGAATATCTTCATCTTGTATCTGTTATAATAATACTTTCTAATAAATCAGAGACACTTGGGTGCCTGGTCTTCTGGAGAGTAAGCCTGAAAAGAAAAAGTAAGAATTTGTAGAAATTTGTAAGAAGAAATACATTCCACGCAGTCATATATCTCTTAGATGCATTCAACTATTTAAGATCTTTGTTACTTATAGGAAGTTAAGATGTCTTGGCACTTAATGCATGTTAGATAGTGTTAGAGAGACTTTAGATCCGTGCATGATGTTGAGATACTTATCCCTGTATTTCTTAAATGATGTGTTTTCGACGCTGGCATCAGAATGGAGCCATAGCCTGGATGCAGTCGGCTTTGGTGGTCCGTGTGTATTGGCCAGGAGTTTGTTGTCCTCTGAGGAGGGTGTCCAGGGCTGTCCCTTTCCACGGGGCGTGTCCCAGGAATAGGTCTTCAGGCAGCCGCAGGTTGTGTTTGTTTCCTGGGTGTGATGTTAGTAATGCTGCTTTGCAGACAGTAGGTACGGACATGCAAATACATGTACAGCTGTTTAGGTACTCTTATCTTTAGGAGACATCTCTTTGCAGTTGATATTGAAACACAGGGAGTATGTTATGCCTATAGCATTTGATTTAGCATCTTCAGTGCCTTCCCCTGTAAGAAACCATATAAATATAAACAAGTTTTCTATCAGTGGAGATACTTTACTAGTGGGGATTGCTAACTAGGTACACCTTAACGTGGATTTTTAAAGAGCTAGTTCCTATGGTTTAGGATTAAAATGAGAAAAGAACATTTGAAAGAAAAAAAACCCAACCATAGTGCTGTTACACCTCTTTTTTGCTTTTGTCAAAACAAGATTTTTCCTTATTAGTCAATTTAATTTTGAATTTCTTTGTACTCCCAGCTAAGTAGCTTTTGTTAGGCTTTGTTTTTATGATAAAGCTATTCCTTGTCTAAAATGACAAGCTGACAAGTTTGAACATCTTTCAGAGTGGTGAGATATGGGAAGGAACATCCTACAGCCTGTTGCCAGGATCCTGTGGTGGGCTGGGTGAACATGGTGTAGAGGTAGGAGTGACCTTGTTGGAAGAGAATCATGAATTGGATTTGGAGTCAGTGGAAAGAGATCTAAAAGTTGGAATCATTCTCGTGAATGTGAAACCATGAAGTCATTTGTGACATAAAAGGCTTGGAGTGGGAAGTGACTCTATAGGATTAAATTAGCTGGGCACTGTTTAATGGTCTAGAAGGTGACTGGCACTTCTCTAGCTTGGACATGTTGCAGGAAGGAAGTTAACTTCTAGCAATCTCTTGGAAATATTCTTTCTTCAAAATATTTTCCTCTTTTCTGTATTACTCTAATTTTTAAGGCACTATTATGAAACAGAAGTTAAATTAGAACAAGTCTTGTCAGCATGTTGTCAGATGTGCTGACGGGAGATGGATCCGGGATTTGTTTGGGGATAGAAAGTGGCGTAGGGTATGTGGGAGCTCAAYGTGTCCTCCCCCCTCGCTTCCCTGCCAGCTGCTCCCTCACAGGGTCGGGAGATGGTGATAAAGCTTGCAGATAATGCAAAGAAAGCTTCTCGGAGAGGCTTAGTAAAAGGCTGAGAAAGTGGGTTCTGGACTTTGAAGGGTMCTTGTTTGTTTGAGAGAGCGAGAGGTCAAAGACATCTTAACAATGAATGGAAAGACAACTTGGGCAATTCCAGAGACCCATCAGCCTGCCGTTGATATCCGGAAAGATAAGACAAATTATCAGTCAGTTTGAACTGAAGTGGTTAATGCACAGTAGTCGAGGGCAAAATGTGCCAAAGGGATACAATCCAAAACCATTGGGTGTTCCAAGGAACAAAAGCTTGTTACTAGGCAAGCTAGTGGAGAATTGGTCAGGAATAAAATGCTCCTTGGGTGCCCAAATTTAAGAACAGAATGTTCCAGACACAGGTATCAGTAGCAGCTTTCTTTGGAAAGCTTACTGAGAGAATTACGAAGATGCACCTCTGCTTGTCCATTTGAGTGGATGAGGAATAACAGGATGGATAGGATGACAAATGCTATGTTCAGCAACATGGTAACTTGTAAAAGTAGTCTGCAAGTAAGGACAGAAAATTAAATACACAGAGCAAGTGTTGCAGCTGAAGAGCAGTTCAGTAGACAGGTATAGGCAATGTTTGGAATGATCTCTTTTTTTGGCCGGATACTCTAACAGGAATAACACGGAGCATCCTGCTGGGTTGAGCTGGTGCTGCCGGTGGGGCCCTGGTGTGGACTCCGAGAGGCTGGGGAGCCCGGCTGGGTGGGTGTRCAGGGGAGCAAGGCTCGGCCTCGCGCTCCCTCTAAGGAGCCTGCAGTGGACTGGGTCGGGAGGGAGATCAACTGGCTGTTACAGACGCATGATTAGAGATCAGTTACTGTAGTGCTGCTCCTGGCTCTTTGGATGAAGTGGTGAGGGATGGCTTGAGAACCATCGTGAAGACCGGGCAGCCTTCCTTCCACTTGGTGTATCCCGAGGTTGCTGCAGCTCCGTAGTTTCCCAGGGGAGGTTCCTGAAGCTGTTGCTGCCGCCGAGCGGGGCCCCGCAGGCCTCGCTGCCCTCCCTGGCCGTGCGTCACGTCGTGGGGCCTGGGCTTGAACGCAGCGCTGGTGAACAGAAGGTCTCCGTCATAGGCACGATCGGATAATTAAGAGTTAATCGTGACTGATTTATTTTTTTCTTTTATATTAGTGATAATGTAAATTGTAATGAGGGAGAAAGTCTTTCTCGGTCATATATGGAAGTACTTGATCCTGGTTCCTGATTGACTTCCTCATTGGACCTGTTGCTGGTTGGGTATTTGATATAAGGGTCAGGTTTGTGGCTTGGGGAGCTTTGCCCAGCAGGCTTGATTCCGCTCCGCGCCGTGAGGAGCAGCGGTGGGGAAGGGCTGCGGTGCCGCCGGGGCACTGCGGGGCTGTGTCTGGGAACGTGGCAGCGGGGTGCCTGCGCGCTGCAGCTCGTGGTGCCCAGGGAGCCCGCGCGCCCCTTCGAGCTCATCTTCAGCGCCTGGTGGGACCGATTGCAGCCTCAGCGCCATCCTCATGGGACGGTCCCCACTGTCACTGACCTGCAGCCCTGTCTCGTGCAGTCGGTTCTTGTTGCGCACACAGCACGGGGCACTCGCCCTGGGAATGACTCGAGAGACCCGCAGGTGCCCCTTCAGGTGCAGGACCAGGGAGTCCCACGCCGTTGGGTAGGGGTCTGTTGCTGCAGTGCAGGGCCCTGCTCGGCTCTGCCCAGCTGCCGTCATGGCTGGGTCTGTCTGCCGGAGCCGCAGGAGGCACCGGCTGCCGAGCCCGGGCACCGGCGGCACCGGGGCGGCACCGGCTGCCGAGCCCGGGCACCGGCGGCACCGGGGCAGCACCGGCTGCCGAGCCCGGGCACCGGCGGCACCGGGGCGACGCTGGCCTGACGGGGGCAGCCTGCCCAGCTCCACGCCCTGGGCTCAGCTCTTCCCAGCGCGGGGCTGCCCTCGTCTCCAGAGTGCGGTGCGCCGGGCGCCTCTCCCTGCTCCGTGTTCCCGGGCCCTCGCTGTGCGCCTCTTGCCCTTTCACCCACACAAAAGGCAGTGWCAGACACAATATTAGCAGGAGTTCCCTTACAGATAGGAAGGTGAATAGTGTATCAAACTCCTGGTTCATGAGCAGACCATAACTTCCTCTTGCTTATTTTGTGACAGAAACAAGACTTTAACCTGTATGTTTGAGCTGCATTATTTAGTTGATTGCTCTGCTTCTTCCCCAGCCAAGTAGCCCTGCGATGATATTTCTGACCTGACTTTTATATATTGCCATGTCTGATAGTTCTGTTTTGACAGTTTTCTTCCTATATCTGTCCAYTGCAACTCCAACCTTTTTCTAATCYCAATATTAAAATCATATTCTTTGTTTCTACTTCTGTGTTTAACTGCTTGCAGCATGAATCACTAACATCTGGCTTGRCAGGGTTTTTTTTTTTTCAGTCTGTTTCCAGTCTGTAAAGATTGTATCCCATTTTAATCCCATGTTTTAATACACAATCCCTCTAGATCTGTATCCTCTGCGGATTCAGCTGGTGTGTTCTGTTCTATCCTTTAAGTAACTGGCAAGTAGTTGGAATCGCATTGGACTTGCCCAGATCTCATTAGCATCCCATTAAACACCTGTGCTGAACTTCACCTCACAGCTAGAGCTGTGTGTGTTTGTGTCCTTGATTGACTGTCTGCTCACTCCATAGTTCCAACTAATTCTCATTTTCCCACTGTGTTATTGCATTGTATGGAACTATTCTTCACTCTTTTCTGGGAGACAAAAGATCAAGTGGATTCAAAACATTTTGTAGGAAAGTTAATATAACAGCAACTTAATTAGGTAATTGAAAAGATGCAATTAAAGGTGCCGGGCAGATGTTTCCTAGTGGCTCCTGCTGGCACTAGGTGCCAGCGTCACCACTGAGAGGCCGGCTCCCTCGCGTGGCGCAGTGGCYGCCTCCTGCATGCAGCACAGCCCCGCTGTGCCGCCTGGACTCGGGGAGCCCGGCACTGGTGGCCCATGCCAGGACCCTTGGGCGCTCGGGGACCCTTGGGTGCTCGTAGGGCTGGGCAGGGAGCAGGGAGCCTGGTCCTCTGGCACAGAACCGGCCTTGGCCCTTGCCGCCCGCACCCTCCTCCTGCTCCCTCTGTCCTCGCTGGAAGCGGCTGCGGGCGCTGCGGGCACTAACCTGGTCTGCTCTCGGTTACATCCTCCTTTCCTCTTTGCTTCTGACTTAATCCTTTGCCTACTTCACAGGCCGATTCTTTGATGAGAATGAATCCCCTGTTGATCCGCAGCAGGGCTCTAAGCTGGCAGATTATAATGGGGATGATGGTAACGTGGGTGAGTATGAGGCAGACAAGCAGGCTGAGCTGGCTTACAATGAGGAAGAGGATGGTGATGGTGGAGAAGAAGACGTTCAAGGTGAGCTTGGGTCTTATCTCCATCCCATTAAAATAAAATCGACCGAGTTTTATTTATTGAATTTGTGTGAAGCCTTTGCTATTTATACCTTATCAAAACTCTGCAGTGTGCAATAAGTAAACTCTGGGTAATTTTTCAAATTCAGTCTTACTTTCCCTTTGAAAACAGCATTATATATTTTGATAAATTTCAATCTTGTACGTGCTTCATGCTGGGAAAGACAAGACACCTAAAACATGAGAAAGAGCTTGGTCTGAACAGCAACATCTGGTCGCCAGTGTGTTGGTTTCTTGTCTTTAGCACTTACTAAAGCTCTRTTCCAAGGGAGAAGGATTTTTGTGACTGCTGCTTATGCTGCAGCATGTGTGCTGGAGAGCGCGCCCGTCCCGGGCCCTTGCAGCTCGGCACTGCGGTGCCAGGCGAACCCCGCAGCACCGGCAACTCCTTGGCTGTGAAGGTTCTTATTTAATATTTCCTGTTGAGGAAATAGTGCAGAGTAAAGAAGAGCAGCCCTACTGACTTTCCACRTGCTCCTCAGTTTTAGCCTGCTAACTCTCTGCTAAAAAGCTGCCATTTCCAAGCTGCTGGGGCTGGTATTCCCTGCAAGACCCAGCTGGCACCCACGGGCGCAGAAGGTCACAGAGCCTTGACAGAGCCGTGCGGGGCAAGGAGAACCTGGAGAGACTTATTCCCAGTCCCAAGGATTTCCCTACAGAGAGGGCAGCGGGCCGGGTCGGAGCTGGGCTTCAGAAGCACCCCAGGATGCACCAGGGCCGACTCTTTGCTCATCACATTAGTGCTTGAGTGGACTTCAAAGCCCCGTTGTGGAAGGTTAACTAAGACCCTCTGCCTGTTGCTAAATCCCACGGCACCGAGTGCCCGTTTGCTGCTTTTGGCCCTTTGGAGGGTGTTTATGGCGGTAATGACTGGGTCAGCTCCTGGGACGCTGCAGCTCCCGGGGTAGCGCGGCTCTCGGGACGGAGCAGCGCTGCTTTCCGCCGCGTTGCCGTGGGCCAGCCCGTACTGATGAGTGGCTCCAGCGCTTGGCGAGAGGAGCTCGTGGCCGCAGGAAGCAGCGCTTGGCGTGGTGGGTGCTGCAGCGTGTGACGAGTCACACGGGTCTGTGCCAGTCACGAAGGGATCAGCACTAAGTAGCAGCTGCTGGTGGAAAACTTGGGAGCAAGAGAAAGATAAAGGTGTGTTTAAGGAGCTTGCTGTAAGTGGCCTCACAGAAGTGCTTCCCATTTCCACAGCACGCCTGTGAGCTCACTAATTCTTTGCCAGCTGTAAGAATTCTCATCGGCTCCCCTGTGCATCCCGAGCCTTGCCGTGTTTGGTGTCTGATAGGAGAGGTCGGAGCAGCCCGGGCGCTGTCGGTCGCTGGTTTAGAGCGAGGCCTCCAGGGCCTTCTGCTTCTCTCYGTTGTCTTGGGTCCTAGGAACTTGTCATCTCCCTCTGGTGTGGGGCGGGCAGCCAGGGGAGCGGGGCTGGGACGGTGCTTCCAGAGGGCCTGCCAGGAACACGGGGCTTGGGCAGCACTTTCCAAGGGGTTTCCTGCTTTGTGCCAGGCGCTCAGCTGCCTGCAGGGCCAGCGCTGCAGAGAGGGGACCGTTGGCATCGTAGAGTGAGGAAAAAGGACTTAAAACGTGTTGCGGCCTTTGGGAAGCTACCCCTGAGCTTTGCGTGAGGGAAACAGCATGCGGGATGTGTGGACAGCCCGTTCGGGCTGGGAACGTCCTTCCCCGTCTCCGCCAGAGATGTGTTGCTGAGGGGGCAGGCGGCGAGTTTGGCCTGGGGTTACCCCAGTGCCAGAAGGGCCACCATCCCATCCGGCATCGTGGCACCCCGGCTGCCCGCCCGCAGCGCCGGCAGCTCCGTTATCCACTGTCGTTAGCGGTGCTGGCTCTGTGCGCGGGCAGCGCCGGTCACGGGCGGCCTGCACTGACTCCCTGCAGCGCATCGCGTACTGACCCTGCCTGCGCTGCGCTCGCCACGAGCCACGGCATCCCGCGAGAGCCGGAGGATTTGGGCAGGGAGCGCTGGGACGCTCCGCTTCGTCCCCTGCGCAAGGGCTCGGGCCGCGGCGCGGGGAGAAGAGCCGCGTGCGGCGGCGGCGCCCGCGGAGGCAGCAGCACCGCAGGGCCGAGGGCGGCGAGCGGGGCGAAAAGCCCAGCGCCAAAACCGTGCCGCGCAGCCAGGAAGCGTCTGTTGTTGTTGTTGTTTTTAATGCTGAGGAGGAGATGGAAAACACACTGCCCTTATTGCTGGGGTCTGGAGAGGGGATCCTGACATCTCTGGGCCCATTCTGGGAGGTACCTAGCTCTTTGTAAAACCTTTTATATAAACTATAAACTATAAAATATAAAATATAAAATTATGCTGGAAGGGTAGGCACTGGCAAGTGGGTTTTTCAGGCCATGGCCTTGTTGGGTCTGGCAGGAGGGCGCGAAGCCTCTGCAGGAGCGTCCCTGGTCCTGAGAGCTGCTCATTCTGCAGCCCCCCAAGTCGGGAGGTGTGCGAGGGGCAGCTGTGGGGGGCCAGGGGGACAAGGGCCGGGGGCACGGGGGCTGCGTGGCCGCCCTCACGGCACGGTTCCTTTCCCTTGCAGACGACGAGGAGCGGGACGTGCAGAACGAGCTGGCCGAGTACGACAAGCCCCGCCTGGACGGCATCCTCTAGGCCCCCGGTACACGCGTCCATCGCTGCGCTGCTGCACCCGGGTGGAAGCCTCGGGCTTGCTGGTACACGGAGCCCCTTAGACTCTACCTGACCTGTAATAATCTCTACACTTAAAGCCGATATTATAAATAGCGGCTGGATCGTTTCTGCAAATTAGAAAACTTTGTAAACTGGAGAACTTGTACAGTTTGTATCTCATGTAACAAACACACTGTGGAAACAATGTATAGCCAAAGGACTCCTTTTCTACAGTAATTCCTGTGTGAGCAAAAATACTCTTGCTTTCTTCATGAGTGCTGTGTGTTTGTAGTTTGCAGGTGAGTTACCCATTGAGAAGGAAAACAGTGTGGAAAAAATTGCTCCCTCCTTACTGGCACTGAGGAGAGAGACACGACAGGGAAGCAGTCTCCAGAGGCGAGAACTGTTGGAATTCCGGTAGGCAGTGACCAAAGCGTAGAGCTAGAGCCGGGATTAGAAACCCAGGAATTCGGTACATCCTGAAAAAGGTGGTGAAACCGGAGCTTATTCTAAAAGGTAAGATAAATGACACAGCTTGGGGCAATCTGTGTGCATGCAACAAAAGCATTCCTGCAGTGGAAAYAAAGACGAGTCCGCAGCGCTGCGAGAACCTTGGTGGGAGGGAGCAGCAGCCCTTGCCGTGAGGAAAGGCCRCAGGGTTTTGCAGCTGCTTCGCTGTTCAAGAGCGTCCCGTCCATCCCGCTCGCTCACGTTAATTTTCGGTGCTTTGGTACAAWCTCTTCAGCCATCTGGCACGTTCCATGTTTTGCTTTTCTAGAGAAGAGTTTGTAAGTTAGAAACTTTTTGTATTCTGTGTTCAAGCACTTTTTGAATTTTATGGAAATGGTTCTGTTGATCTGCACTAGTGGAAGTGAAGATTATTAACCCAACCTGCTTCTCCCAAAGGGCTACTGTGAAAATAATTTCTAGGGCCAGTGACATGGGTGATTGTACTTCTTTTCTTCTTTTCCTCTTTTTTTTTTTTTTTCCCTCTCTGTACTCAGGTTCAGGTTTAAAGTAATGGTTCAGGTTTGCCTGTTACAATTCAGCAAACCTTTTGAATAAATTTCAGAGCTCAAATGATTTTTGGCTACAGGGGTCTTTTACCACTAAGTCTTAAATATTCAATTTCTTCCTGAAATTAAAAAAGAAAAAAAAAAAGGCAGGTTCTGCCGCTGCATCCTGAGGGGTGTCTAAAGCTGGAGCTTCCTGTGCATGAGCCCAAACTCGTCGTTGCCCCCTTCGGGGAGGCAGGTGGGGAGAGCCCTTCGCATGGTGTCCTCTATTTCCACTTGAAAGTAAAATGCTGAACCTGCTCTGAGCTACAATCCATACTAACCACACCGAGTGCAGCTTGTACCGGAATTCTAAAAAACAGCCATCAGCGAATACTGTGTTTAAGCACTGCAAATCTTTTTTTGTCTTAAAATGTAATTTCACCCTGAATTAGGTGTTAACTTCCTTCTAATGAAAGCATCATTTATTGGGTTCTAATAAATTAAGTTGTTTAAAGCTTGCGAGGCTTCGGGCTTTGCTTCCTCCCCCGGCAGCGCTCGATTGACCCGCGGGGGAGCCGGCGCGGCCGGGCCTGGCGCGAGGGCGGCCGCCTTCCCGCTGCGCGGGACCCGGGAACGGGCCTGGCTGCGGGCAGGTGCCCGCGGCGCCCGCCTCGCGCGGGTCCCACAGGGCTCGGGCTGCGGGGCTCGGTGCCGTCAGCTGCAGCACGGGCTCAKCCCTTGGGCTTTGAATCCACGCGCGTGGGAGGAGGTGCGACTACCCCAACCCCGGCCTCTCTGTAGAGAGCGGGTTGTGCCCCAGTGCTCAGGGCTCCTTGCAGCCTCTGCCACCATGGCTGGCATCTCTGAAATGATATAACCACTCCTTTTAGTATTGGTCAGTTCTGTTCTGATTTTACCTCTAAGGTATTCTGGTACAAAAAAATGAAATTTCATTATCTGGTGAGTTTAGAGAGAAACAAAGACATTAGCTAAATGACGTTGAGAAATAGTTGCGTTTAATGCACGTACACAGAACTGTGTGTATACATATATTTATATACATAAAAACATGTATAAATGAATGTGTATATACATTTGCTTATACACAAATTCCATATATAATCAATTTCTTACTGCTTTTTGGGGTTTTTTTTTGGATATGCTACATGCCCTGGCTGGGTTTATACACAGCACTAGCCCCTCCTATATAAATGAACACCCACATATCTATATAAAAAATATATATTTTATTTTTAAGAATTTTGTACRTTTGCCAAGCAGCTTCGAGCTGCTTCTGGTTCTCATATAATGCCTATTTCACCTTCCTGAGGTCTGGAGAAGTGATGAAAACATGACTGCCTTCAGTTACTTAGAAGTCAGTGTGCTGGCATAACAAATAAATGCATGTTTTCTAACGGAGCCCTATGAAACACTAGCTCACTTTTAAAAAGCATTAATTAAAAATATTACTCACGGACCTGCCACTTCCCTTAGGTGACTGCACCTAATACCCTCAAAGGGCAGGCTCTATTCAGTATGACCAATAGCAGCCGTTAGGAGCAGAAACACAACCGACTACCCTGATGTTATTTTTCCAGCGCAGCTCTGAGCTCCGCGTGCCGTTTTTGTAGATCCAGCGCCAGTTTCCATGGCAATAGCAGCACACCAAGCATTGGCACGTGTCCATGGCAAGAGTTTGTTAAGGGCTCACCAAAAGACTTGGCTCTTCTTTCCCTAGCTCTGATTCTTCTATCTGTGGATCAAAATGAAATGGAAATGGTTAATGAAATGGAAGGGTGGTTCCTTGGAGCGGGCACTGCCACACATTCRCATGAACACACAGCCTGTCAGCAGCACTAAGCTGGTTTCTGTTACAAGGGCCTTAATTTGTGCTACTCAAATTTAGGCACTTAATTAAGATAATTTGCAAAATGTCTAATACTGCTGGGCTTCTTTTTTTCAGTTACAGGAAGTACCTTGTTGAAGAAGAAAATTACAAAGAATCATCAAGAATTTATTTAGGAATGTTCTACCGCTTATTTCCCTCCTCCTTTCTTCCTTTCCTTTTCTTTCTCCTTATGTCCCCTAAAAACAGGAGGGAAAGGGACCACATCTTCCTCCAAAGATGATTTAATTCAGTTTTCACATCTAGTAAGCAAGAAACRGGGGGGTGCCAGCCCTGCCTGAGGAGAAGATCTCAGCAGCCCCAAGACCACCCAACGGCCAGGTCCCCCATAGCACCCGGGAAGGCGGCCGGGACTCGCTCAGGAACCTGGTCTGGCTTCAACGCAGGCAGAACCAAACACATTGCTGGTGTGAGAACATGGACTAAATTATCAGCTTTGCTTGCGAATCCTCAAAGAGGTCTATCTCATACTGTGAATTTCTCACTGAAAAAAACAGTTCAGGTCCCTTCCCTGGAATCTGTTGMATATTATCTCAGCCTCTACAGTAATGAGCCAAGGAAACTAATTAACAGCTGTCAAAACATTCTTACATTCTCCCGAGCAGTAGTAATCTATGCATATGATATACTGTACGCTTCCTCTCACATAGGGTTTTCTTTTATATATTTAATATCGGTATTTTGCTTGCCTATTGTAGAACGGCCCGATCAAAATGTTATTTTGCTTGCAGAAAAAGAGCAGGAAGGATTGCGAGGTCCCTAGAGCTCTGCAGAGTCTCTCTCCCTGTTAAACAGCAGCCCCGGGAAATGCCGTGTCTGACCACTTGGAGCTTCATCCCTATTACAGGGAACTTCCCCATGCAGAACCCGGCCGTCAGTGGCCATCCCACAACAGGGACAGCACTTTTTTCATGGCACGTTGGTCACTTGGAGCACTGTGGGGAAAAGCTGCAGCTTTCAGCAGGAACGGGAGCTTCCCAATGGAGAAAGACTCCAAGCGACCCGGAGGAAGGGATGGAGCAGGGCAGGTGACGAAGCCTCCGGGCAGGCGGGATGCTTAAGTGCAGCCACTTAAATCCAACATGCTCTTTTGTTCGGAGGGGCAGGCGGGCACAGGCTGTTAGACCAGGGAGCCTCTATTAACCAGGGAGCCTGTGGCTGCTCCTGGGGACACTGGATGCAGGTGCTGGGCACCGAGCACAGCCCCAGAGCTGCTGCTCATTCRACTCAATTGCACAATTCCACTCATCTAATAAATGAGTTATTTCTTTCAGACAAGCAAGAGAAACAACTGCTTAGAAACAAGTAATTTGAAAATTTTAAACCCAAACGAGAACCGTTTTGTTTGCACAACAACCGTCTCATTCTCAGGTCCCATTCTCGGGTCCCTTTGGCAAAAGAGCTGTAACCCCTACCTAGAGCAAGAGCGGGATCAACAAGTGGAAAAAGGAAGTTGAAATACTGGAGAGAAACTAAGGAAAAGACCTCAAGTTACCCAGGGAGCAAAACCCTCTGCAGGTCAAACTGAGACGTGAAATAAAACCCAAGTCCCCGGCTGCAGACACCGGSAATGCGCGTGCGGAGAGGCTGCACTCCCCACACCGAGCTCTCCACGGGCTGGGGAGCGGCACCACAGCAAGTCATTCCAGTGGCTGCATCAACACAGAGCTGGTGGCTTCGCAAACGCAGAACGCTGGGGGAAGCAGAAAACACCAGGAGTGCCTTTGGAAAGGATTTTTCACAGAAAATAACCTTCCAAGCACGTACAACACTGCGGGTAACTGCAAGGTTTCTCCCTCTGTTTCTCTATGAACGTGGAATATCTCAATCTGACCCACCGTGAAATCCACCATCCAAAAACCCAGACATGCTGCCAAAACAAGGCCAACATTTTCTGCGAACTCAGGACGCTCTCTGAGCTTCTAATGCCTCATGTATCCACATGCAGACACAGCGTTATTTGTGGGTTTGTATTTTACACACACAGTATATTGTCACCCGCRTTATACACACTGAATATAATACTCTTTTCCCAGTGAAAAATATGATCTGGGGGGCAGTTACAGTGGATGGACACTTGAACTTTTGCTCCCCAGCACAACAACATGACTTTATGTTTATTCTCAGCGGAYTCGTGGCGAAGGTCACAAATCTTCTGGCTCCAAATCCTTTCTCAGGCCCTGCCCAGGACCAGGTAGGTTGRGGACGGCCCTGCAGGACATGTGTTGAAGCAGCCTGCAGTCCAGAAAAGCACAGTTCTCACTCCCACCAAGGCCAGTTTGAACCCCAAATCRTGTGTTTTAATCTCTCTTCCAAATGGTTTCTGGCTCCCTTTATAAGAGCACTTGAAATGCTGGTATCCATACAGCTATCTGTTTGCTTTGAATCTTGGCAGTCGTTTCCTCTGGCAATTAGTTTCACTTTAATTACACACTCTTTGAAAAAGTATTTCCACCTACCGTTTTCAAAACTCCCTCTTTTCAAGTAGCACGGACCATCCTCTTAGRCTTGCATTATGAGGCATCACAAAGTTATCTTGCCGTACAAGTTCTTAATGAACTGCCAGACAATCCTAATTTCGTTTTAACATGCCCAAGCTGACTTTTTTCCACAGCTGGTCGTACAAAAAATATATATATTCAAGTATTATGCTTAGTGTTTTCAGAAATATTGTAGGGAATAAAGCAGCCCGTCCTGAATGAGAGCTCCGCTGCTAACACTCACCTGTTTATTGTCTCCCGAGTTAATAAACCGAGGACAATTTAACCTTTAATTCTGTAGCCCCAGACAGTGCTCTGGACAAACCAAGGCAGCAGATGGGGTTCATCGCAGGGGCCAACAAACACCCTGAGCTGCGTCCTTTCTCACGGGATAGACCCGGTCTAAGGCGTAGGCAAAGCGGGTTGGGGGTGTCAGGCACASGGAAGCCGCTTTTAGGGAAAACCACCGTTTTGTGCGACCCACCGGGAAGGGGCGCACTGTCACAAACGGCAGGAACGGCACCAGAGGAGGAGACCCGAGGGCCGTGACCCGCGGGGGGCTCCCGGGGAAGGGGCTCCCGGGGGGAAGGGGCTCCCGGGG